GTCACACCGGCTTACATGTCTCCTGCCACTGTGGGGGCTGCGGCTGGGCTGGACACAGCAGAAGGTGCTCAGGGCTTGGAAGGGGGCAGGCTGTGTACCCTCACCACAACGGGAGACTCTGTGTGGGAGTAAATACACAGCCAGGCTCTAGTAATGTCTGCAGGGAGCCCTTGAATGCAGTGGGGTGCGCACAGCAGGAAGGCAGGTAGGAGCCATCTTCCACCTGTGTGGACAGGCCAAGCCCTGCTGCTGGGAACAGGGTGCTGCCACGTCTGCAGCGGGCGAGAGCGCAGCGCTGAGGCACACCGGCCTTTGGCCTTCCAGATTTGGAAAGTAGATGACGCTTTTGGTTTGTATTTATGAAGAAATGTCATCATCTGTTACTTGCCTGGTCTGCTGCTCGCTCCACTTTTTAATAGCATTTTCCATGTCTCACACAAGGCTAGAGGTTATTTTGCTTTTTCATAGTTCTGCTACATGATTGACTGCCCAGGTTGTTCAGTGCAGGGTCCAGGAAACCAGAAAAGATTGGATACAATGGAGGATATTCCTCACAACAAACTAAAGTACATATTATGTTAGCAGGAAACATACATTTCCAATAACTTTTTCCTGACTGTTTGGAAACAAATGACTATTGTGGTGGGCTGCACAGCCATGAGGAGGCCTCAGCAGCCTCTCCTCCCTGCACCAAGGGAAGTTGAGAGGGAGAAGGATTCTTGGGCAGGTTTTGCCATAACATTCCAGGAGATTTTAGGCTGGTTGCAGCTTGTCAACTACTAGGATATTTTGAGCTGAGCTCTGGAGTGAAGAAGGAGGGCTAAAGATAGAGAAGAAGCTGGGGAGTAGGGAATAGAAAGTTTGAAAGGAGCTGTACATACTTGATAATTAGTGGCTGATTTCACAATATTGCAGAGTCTCTGATCTGCCATGTTCCTGGTGTTGTATCATATGTAGATTTACTGATCCTTGCTGGGAACTTCTCCCCACCCCTCCATTTCATCCTTGGGCATCTTTGGATTTCAATTTTTGCTTAATGCTTAGCGTAACCCAAAATCTCATTAAAAAAATTTAATTGCCTTAGTTTAAAGTGACAGTTTGTCTCCACTTGGAGCTGGGAGTTAAAACACACTAGAAATAATGTCTTTTTTCCAAACTTTGTTTGGCAGCTCCAAAATATTTGTTTCAGTAGTTGATGGTGTGGGGGTGTGGTGCTGAATTGGTCCATTCCATAATTTTGCGATCTTTGCATTTGCCATAATTTTCAGTTTGATCTGACAGATTAGTCTTAGAATCATAGAATGGTTTGGGTTGGAAGGGACCTTAAAGATCATCTAGTTCCACCCCCCCTGCCATCAGCAGGGACACCTTCCACTAGACCAGGTTGCTCAAAGCCTCATCCAGCCTGGCCTTGAACACTTCCAGGGAGGGGGCATCCACAACTTCTCTGGGCAACCTGTTCCAGTGTCTGACCACCCTCACAGTGAAGAATTTCTTCCTAATATCTAATCTAAACCTACCCTCTTTCAGCTTAAACCCATTTCCCTTTGTTTTGTCATTAACTGCCCTTATGAAAAGTCCTTCCCCAGCTTTCTTGTAGGCCCCCTTCAGGTATTGGAAGGCCGCTATGAGATCTCCCCGGAGCCTTCTCTTTTCCAGGCTGAACAGCCCCAACTCTCTCAGCCTGTCCTCACAGGAGAGGTGCTCCAGGTCTTCTTACCCTAATGTCTGTTGTTCAATTGACAAAGTCCGAAAACACATCACTGTCGACTATGGGAAGCTTAACAGAACCTGCTCCACAGATCCAGGCTAAACCTGCCAAATGTGAGTGGGATTTCTTACCTGTAGGTGTAAAGTGAGTTAGATGGTAGAGGTACCTGGTGGAGCTAACCTGCTGTTTTGCCTTCTGTCCCTGGCACAAGCCAGCGTGCCGGGTCCCTTTCTTTCACTCGGGTGCACTCCTGCATTTTAAGGAAAAGGCTGACTGAAGAAATTGGTTCTTTAGGTTTGACAGTGACTGCTGTGAAGGACTTTGGGGAGTGGAACTTAGAGGCTGGAGCACTGGTGCTTGCAGATGGAGGCCTTTGTTGCATTGACGAGTTCAATAGTATCAAAGAACATGACAGAACCAGTATCCATGAAGCAATGGAACAACAAACCATCAGTGTTGCAAAAGCAGGGTAAGTGTCATGTTAACATACGTGATAAAACAACATAAGACGTTCCTCTTGTACTTACAACTCGGAGGGAGGTTTGTCATGCTGGTTAAATATAATATAAAATATCTGTTTTCTTTTTTGTGCTTAATAGTTTTGTTCTCAGCAGTGTTCTTAAACTAGATGACTCAACATTTCAAAGGACAGTGCACTGGACCAGAGGTTGCAAGCGATCACAGTAAATACATACCCTCCTCACTGTTGGGTTTTGTCTACCGCTGTAGGCCAGGGCACTTTCCTAAGAAGACTTGGTGTTCTTTTTCTTGCCTTGTGCTGTGGGTGGTCATAATAATCATATGTGAAATGAGGAACTTGATTGAAAGTCAGAAAGCAGGACTTACTTAATTTCTCCAGTAATACTGCATGGCAACAAAAGAAGATCAAGAGATTTCCAAGCTGCTGAATTTTATATGTTGGGAATGGGATAAATTGAAAAAGAAAGTGAGGAACTGAAAGGAAGCAGTTTCTAAGTAGTGTGTGCTCAACTCTGCTATTTCCACCCCCTACCACTTTGATCTTTGAGCTCATCTCTCATTCTGTCAGTTTCATGCAGCTCTTTTCCAGGCCCAGATCGTTTCCTGGCTGGTATTACTGAAATCTCTGCTGCTCAAAAAGCGTCGCCCATTCCACATTCCTCCTTGTCGCCTTCAACTCACCTCTTGCTCCAGTCACATCTTGTCTCCTCCAACTGATCATGTCCCTTCTTTATTCTGAGCGTCTCCACTGAAGGCTCTCTTCAGCCTCTTTGGTGGACAGTGGACAAGTAATGTCGCTCTACCTGGGAGATTTCTAGCCTTTGCCAGCAATGCAGCTGGGGACAAAGACTTGGAATCAGCATGGTCATATCTACTTAGTAAGATAGTGACATATTTTAGCCAGGTTCCTTGTTGCAGTTGTTTGGGTTTTGTAGATCCCAAAATACAGTTTGCTAACTTGCACATATAACCTCAGTTGCTCACTTTTAGGAACTACATATCATGAGGAATTTTTGAGTAGTAACTTAGCACAGATAAGTTAAGGACTTTGTTAATTTGAGGTCTTATTCTGGTGCATGACATATGAGGTTTTTTTCCCCACTGGGTATAAGCTAATAGAAAATCTGTGGTCATTCCTCTCAGTTACAGAAGAACTTTGAATATGAGGCAGCAGTTACTCAGGAGCTGACTAGAAATAGCTCAGTGACAAACCCGAGTTAGAATACTTCTGCTGCTGCCTGAACCGAAAGGATTACATTTGGGCTACTAGAATAAAAATAATCTCTCTCCACGTCTAAAAACACACGCCAGGATACCATGGTTAGGAGAGGAAAATGGCTATTTTCCTCGAGAAACAGTTGATTGGCTGCCATCATAGTTTGGATGGGTTCGTATTCCTAACATAAATAAACCATATGTTTATGTTACCTTTTATTTTGCTTCCTTAAAATGTGAATTAGGCTAAAATGTTACTTTCCATTGTAACCCCCCCCCCCCAAAAAAAAAACCCAACAAAATCAGCAAAGTAATATTTATTTCTGAAAATTTATGTTGGTTTTCACCATCTAAGGACCTAGCTTTATATAGAGATTACTCATGACAATATTGTTTAGTTACTGCTGGTATCCAGGTCACCATCTTCTGTCTATTTGCTGTTCTCAGACTGAGAAATGCTGCATATGTAATATATATTAATAAAATAATTGTATATATTGTTTAGCTCCTGTGGTCTTTCATAAGATAAGATGTGCTCTTTTTAACATAACATAATTTAAAACTGTGATAATTTTTAATACTTTGGAATAATTTCCCCTACCCAATTTCATTCAACCATAATGTTCACCATACTTTTCTCTAGCTTGGTGTGCAAGCTTAATACAAGGACAACTATCCTGGCAGCAACAAACCCGAAAGGCCATTATGATCCTCATGAGTCTGTCTCTGTCAACATAGCCCTTGGCAGTCCCCTGTTGAGCAGATTTGACCTGGTCTTAGTCTTGTTAGACACAAAGAACGAAGAATGGGACCGCATCATTTCATCCTTCATCTTGCAAAATAAAGGTAAGAGTAGTCATTTAAAATTATAAGGTGGATTTTTTGTTTATTGGGTTTGTTTTTTTGTTTTGTTTTGTGTTTTTTTTTTTCATTTCCCCACCCTTCAGTTTAGTTTGTTATTCTCTAGTCTTCCATGTTAATCAGTGTTTACGTTTTTGCTATGGTAGTTTCCTGCAGCATGTTTGTTTTTCAAGTAGGAATAAGATAGAGATCACTAATTAATTAGTAGGAGTGAGCTGAGAACACTGTGCTTTTACTCTATGATCATTTACAAGAGATTCGTCCCAGAGTGCTCAGTAAGTGGATAGTTTACTTCTTGCACCTTTACATCATTGCTTGATACGCAGATCCTACACACTGTGCAAGTGTACGTGCTGGTGATGGGGAGCTTAATTCAGACAGAACAAATCTGAGCTGCATGTGCTGCAGGGCTCAAAGAATAAACAGTGTGTTCCCTACGTGGAGCTCTGTGCTCTGGAATTAGGGAAGGCAGTGTGATTCGATTTTAACCAGCCCCTTCTCCATCTACTTCAGGAACATTACTTTGATCCCCATTAGGGAAGAAGTGGTTAGAGGAGACTTCTTCAGCTAGCTTCCTTTCCTTCCCAAAATGTTTCCCTGCAAAAAATGGTCAGAATAAGGCAGGTAGATTTTAGCTCCTACAAAGCAGGTACAACAGCCAGAGGGCATACTCACACTCATGTAGCATTTTACATTTTAAGGAATACAAGAGCAGTTAGTACTGGCTGTACCATCTGGTGGGCAGGGAGTCTGACAGCAGTTCTGCTGAAATTACTGGACGCTTTACTGTGGATTTTAACAGGGGAGAGATTGGATGGTGTGTAAAATTCCGCACTGGAATTTGACCAGGTCCTTGAGGAGCAGTGTACAGACAACCCCGTGCGCCCCCAAAATACAGTCATGTGTGTTTTATAGTCATCTGCCTATTTAACGGGAATTCTTAGGAAAAAGCTTGATGCTTGTTGTTGCAGAATTACTGACTAGGCAGTTGTCACACAGGTTGCCCAAGCAAATCAGAAAAGCTCTGGAGCATGGAGAAGATGAAAACCTACTTCTGCCTTATAAAAAGTATACAGCCAAAATTGTCTGAGGAGAGCAACCTGATCCTCGTACGCTACTATCAAATGCAGCGTCAGAGCGACTGCAGAAACGCCGCCCGAACTACCATCCGCCTGTTGGAGAGTTTGATACGCCTCGCAGAAGGTGAGGCCTTCACAACTTTATTTTTAGGCTAACAATTAACCTTTGAAAAATGAATAGATCAGGAGTGTAATTATAGCTTATAGCCAGTAAGCAGAGCAGCAGCTTTTGCACAGAGTTGGGGATCGGCGATTCTTATATTGTTTTATCTTTCTAATCTAAAGAGACTTGGGCTTGGAGGTGTTGAATGTGGGAAAGGGTGTTACATTTAGATTATCAAAATCAGTTTGAATTATGCCATTCTCACACCCCTAATAAAAACTAAAGCCACTGGAAGAAATCACATTAGTGATAAAAATCTCAGAAGTGATGTGTCTTTATTCTAAAAATCTTAGGAGTGATGTGTTCAAGGCTGGGCTGGATGAGGCTTTGAGCAACCTGGTCTAGTGGAAGGTGTCCCTGCTGATGGCAGGGGGGTTGGAACTAGATGATCTTTAAGGTCCCTTCCAACCCAAACCATTCTATGATTCTATGATTTATGAAAAACAATCTCAGGATTTACTTTTAAGCAATAAAGTCCTGGGTTGCCATCCTACTCAGCCTCAGGAAAGGTGTCAAGTATTTGCTTCTATCCTAAAGTTAATATAACATCAAAAATAACATGTTTTATTTCCTTAACTATCAAATCAAGTTTGTATTTTGCAATAGGACTTCAACATTTCCAACTCTTGAGTTCAAAACATATTTCATTTAGTAGAACAAAATCAAAAGAAGCAGTAGGTCTCTGTCTTGACATGATTTTATTTTGTAAAATGGCATATTACGTATTTTCAGAATCAGTTTAAAAGAATGTGCTGTATTTTTGTATAAAAATCATAAATCATCTTTGTACTTTTATATGCCAGTCAGCATTGTAGTGCTTCCTGCATCAGATGTTTATGTTTTGTTCTCCATTTTTGGGGAATAATTATTTAAGTGAAAGACATTCCTAACTTTTAGGGATTCACATGTTATTTTCACATTCAGTGTTTCTTCCATTCTTATGCATTGACATGATTGGGGCATTTAGTGGCATTTTGTTCTTTCGAAGTATTATATACATGGTATTAATTAACCTGCATTTCTCTTGCTGAATCAGAACTGTGTGTGTTTCTGTGGCCAATGAGGAGGAGAGCTTCATGTGAGAAATTATTTTCATTATATCAGTTTACAAAAAATCAGTTTTGTTTTGCTGACTTAAGAAAGGGAAGGAAGAGAAAATAAAGCTATGGTAGAGAAAAGCATTTTAAATGATAACTAAATGTGTGACACAGACCAGTTAGAGGAAATCAAATCTTTCCTGACCTGTGGTGAGAATTAGACTGAATTTTTTACTTTATGATGATGACACGTACCTATATAGATGGGGATGTTTCACTGCCTTTGTTGTGATATCCAGCACTTTACATTTTTTAACTCCAGCATTTTCATCATCTTTGTTCGAACTGTCACTGTAACTGTAATCTGGAAGTCACACTACATTCTTTACTAGTAAAATTAAGCCTTCCAGTTCCTGTTGAAATTGACATTAACATCAAAAGGATTATATTAATGTTTAAAATCTGGCCTTCCACATTATATACAAGTGTTGGAAGAGCTGAAGAAATTTGAAGAAATAACCTGTCCCTTCTCATACAAAAATAATTGCTTTTTGACTTTTGTAACACCTGCTTTCCATGCTCATTTACTTTTGATAGCTCATGCCCGGTTGATGTTTAGGGATACGGTGACTTTGGAAGATGCTGTAACTGTGGTATCAGTGATGGAATCTTCTATGCAGGTAAGGTTTCTTGCAGACACTGCCATTGCTGCGATGCCACGTTTAAGGGATTCAGTTTGTCATGTAGATATATGCCAGCTCCCTTCATCCCTTTGGAGGGGGTTTCATGGAGTCACAGAAAGCAGGTTATCAGAGACTTTGATAAGTCTTTTTTAGTCCATTTTGATTGTTAAAATCCTTAAGCAGAGATTATACTGAAAAATATGGATTGGTGATAGAGGCCTGGTATCGTTTTTTTATATACTTTGTAGTCTAAGTGAAGTTTTGGCATACTACTGACTTTTGGTAATCTACATTTTAAAGACCTTTTGAGCCAGAAATTGTGTCTATATCACTGTGTTTAATAGCCTTTGATTGGTTTTTCTTCCATGATGTTATTTTGTCACTCATTAACTAGGTGTAAGAGAACCAAATAGTCTCTTTTTGGAGGAAGTTTCCAACAGTTGCCAAGACCTATGCTTTATTTTGCCTTTAGATAATTTTAAACTATGTTGGTGGTTGTACTAAAACTCAGAACTTTTAGAAGATTCATTTTACTCTGAGAAACTTTAAAAGTTCAAAACTTCTGTTGCCACACACTGAAAATTGTGCGTTCCAATTACCACGTGAATTTGTGTAATATTTCTACATAAAGAGATATTGAGAAAATGGGGAAGGCTAGATTTTAGTTTACTGTAGCACTATTAGGATGTTGAATTTGAAGAAATATCAGCACATTTAGAATTAATAAAAGGAATGTGAATCTGGTAGAGAATTTTTAATGTAAATGTGGAAAATAATATAGGCACTATTACTTTGGATAGAATATTTTACTGCGTCCAGTTCTGGAGCCCCCAACATAAGAAAGACATGGACCAGTTAGAGCAAGTCCAGAGGAGGCCACCAGGATGATCCGAGGGCTGGAGCACCTCTCCTATGAGGACAGGCTGAGAGAGTTGGGACTGTTCAGCCTGGAAAAGAGAGAGATCTTATAGCGGCCTTCCAGTACCTGAAGGGGCTACAAGAAAGCTGGGGAGGGACTTTTCATAAGGGCAGTTAATGACAAAACAAGGGGAAATGGGTTTAAGCTGAAAGAGGGCAGGTTTAGATTAGATATTAGGAAGAAGTTTTTCACTGTGAGGGTGGTCAGACACTGGAACAGGTTGCCCAAGGAACTGTGGATGCCCCCTCCCTGGAAGTGTTCAAGGCCAGGCTGGATGAAGCTTTGAGCAACCTGGTCTAGTGGAAGGTGTCCCTGCTGATGGCAGGGGGGTTGGAACTAGATGATCTTTAAGGTCCCTTCCAATCCTAACCATTCTATGATTCTATGATTTTTAAGGGAAATAAATCTTCATGCTTTAGAGTAGAAAAAAATTACCACAAGCAGATTATCCAAAGTTTTATGCACGGGGGCTTTTAGCACCTCTGAAATATTTGGTTTTGACTCTGTCAGAGATGGTGTGCTCCACTGCACAGATGGCTGGTCTGATCCAAAATGGCATTTCCTGCATTTCTGTATAGGTTGCTATGAATATATTAAAATTAAAACAATTTTATATATCACCCATTACCTTAAAGACCTTTGCAGGAGTAGATACGCTCCTTTTTCGGAGATAAAGCTCTTCAGGATAGATGCACAAAGTCACATATGGCAGGTAGGCACTTGTGATCTCCCTTGTTCTTTCAATGAGGTTTGGGAGACTAATTGCAGTCTGTGCCACGGATAATCTGCTGCACAGTGTTGCAAATGGAATTTGTCTCAAAAATACTACAGGGCCTGACCTTATTAAGTAGCGAAAGATTATTGCACTGTCTGCTGCAGTTCATCTTGCACCGTTTTGAAGAGCTCAGCTTTTCAGACAGCACTGCATCTAAGTTAAAATAAGAAGCTGTACTAATGTATCCAGCAGAAGATATCACATAAGTGTTCATTAACTGTAATTAAACTTGTAATTACCTAGATGGGAATTTGATGGGGCAGTGGTTTCAAGGCAATATGGTTTTGGATATAAGACATCTGAAATACTCAATTTTTTTTTCATAAGAAATCAAAAAGTGTGATGTATGTGTGTAATAATAGTGAATGTGTATTGTCATCTGTGTATCTCTCTACCTCATCAGCACAAATAAATGTAAAGAATTGTTCTAACTATAGGTCAGTTTTTCATAGGTATGCAGCCCTGCCCTCAAGGGCTGCAGTTTGCATAACGAGCATCTGTCTAATAAGAGTCACTGAGAAATTTGCATGACTTATGACTGTGGAAGGCTACCTGGGAGTAGTTGGTTTGCTCATCATACTCACTCATTCTTCACTTCTTATGATAAAGTCGGGCAAATGTCTTCATTTTTACTAGGAATCTGCAAATTTGAGATCTACTATTTAAGGCCAAATTTTACTTTCCTCTTGAATCACTAAAACAGTTTCTTTTTGAAGGAAGTTATTTATTACTTACATGATTACTTTATTGTTATGCAGAAATAACATGCAAAAAATTATTTTCAGAAATTGATTCCTTCTCTAGAAAAAAACCCAACTTTATGTGTAGCTACATCCTATGATTCCTGCCTAGTTGTCAGTCTGTAAAATGAGGTTATAAATGGGGAAGTACCAGTGTCATTCTTGAAGGACTGGCTGCCACCTTTCAGCTCAGCAAACTCTGTATTCAATGCTTTCTTTGCAGCTTCTACAAAAAGTCGTATTCTTGCCTGTATAAAATCACAGTTCACAGTTCTCAGGTCAGTATTTCTTGCGAGTCATCCTGGGAAGGAGGACTGTCACATTTTCATCACCAGCCTAGTTCATTGGAGTTTTCTGTTTGTTTCATCCTCTTAATTCACCCTTATTTTTCTCTTTCCTACTACGTTTTTGTGAGCATATTCTAATCCCCCTGGCTTGATCTTTTCTTTGCCTCATTTCCTCTTTGTTAACACTCTCTTCCTCCTTCTCTTGGTCATGTTTTCATCCTTGTTTTATTCCCTTTCCAATCCCTCTCCTTTTACTCCCTTTTTTACATTTTGTCTTCCCATCCTTAGGCACTTTTACACCCTTCCTTTTTGCTGACTTTCCCTGTGACCCTTTCTTTTTTGTCTCTCTGTCTGAGATCCTCTGCCCTCAGTTCAACAGCATATGGATTTGTCAAATGACTATTTTCCTCTGCTCAGAATGATAGCTGAGTCTCAGAGGGGCAGGTATCTCAGAGACATAAGCATCAGCACAGGAATGAAACTTCACAGATACCTTAAATTCCGTCCCATCCCACTTAGAATTTCACACACACGCACACACACACACACACAAACATTTAAAAGAAGCTCATTGTAATGGCCAAGTAAAGCACTAAAAAGTCAGCGAAGGCAGGAGATAATTGTACCCCTTGAGCATAAATCTCAAGATATATTTTCCATTGTATCCTTAAGTCACAGGTTGACAGGACTCAAGCCGAAAGCAATTAGCCTTTGTCAGTGTTTTGCTCAATGTTTTGTTTATTACCTACTGTTCCAAAGGTAGAATTCTCAATTTCTTAATGTGTTTTTCTGTAGAATTCATCTCCAGTGTATTTGAGTATTCAGAAATGCCAGTTTTCTTATCTTCATGCAGTCCCTTGTGAAGTGATGGGATGGTGTTACTCCTGTTCTGTGATCTGGAGCACAATCCAGAAGGAAATGTCCACTGGAACATACCTCATGAGAGATGCTTAGGCTCCCAGTTTCAGAGTAGTCTCACTTTTGGAGCATATTTCCTGTTGACTGCAGTTTCCTTCTGTGTACACACCACAACACAGATTTATTGCTTTTCAAAACCTTTTCCTGACTGGCTCATTCTGAATCACAAATGGATGGAACTTCGCATCAGAGCATCTAGTCCTCCGTGGCTGCTTTTAGCTGTCCTAACCAAGAGACTGGATTTTCCTTTCTGCACTTCCTGCCTCATTAACTATGAACCTTCCTGTCCTTGAAGTAAATACAGCAGAGAGGTTCTGCAACAGCCTTTCCCATGACTGCAGGCTAATGCTTCTCTGTGGAACGGATCTATCATGTTCCTGAAGTGACATGCAAGAAAACCCACCCCCTTGTGGTAACTTCGACAGGATGCATTAATGGTTCTGTGAACAGCCTTAGTTTTAGCACTGTGTAGTTTTAGAGGGCTTTAATTAGCTGCCAGAATGATGTATTTTCAATGTAATTTTTTTTTAATACAAAAGTTTTAAAATTCCAAAATGGAAGAACCAGAAATTGCCACAAGTGGAAATGTGTGGTCACTGTGATGCCATATGTAGCAAATTCTGGTTCTAGAGACTCCATTGGCTTTTGCTGTTGCTCTTATGGTGCTTGATAAGCATCTTGTTCATTAGTTGTACTGAGTTTTATAGATTAGACAGGAGTGGTAAATGCCAGCTAATCTGCAGCAAAATAGAGGGATTGTGGTGTGGGATTTTTTTTCCAAAGAGCAATTAACTAGAGAGCTATTCTAGATTATTTGTTGTGGAACAAATAACTTTGTACAGATGCTCTGTTTCAAATAAAAACTACTTCATTTCCACAAGGCATAGAAAGATTGTCCCAGATTAAAATCACTTTCTCTCTGGAATTATTCCTGAATAGTTAGTTATTCCTAAAGAGCTATTCAGAAATATTTTTGCCAGTCAATTTACCCTGTGTTGACAAACCTTAATACCCAGGTCTTTCCATTTAAATAATTAGGAATGAAATGAAAGAGAAAACTTTTAGTAGTCAGACCTTCTTCAGTTATGAAAGTTGTTCACATGGGCAGAATTTTTACAAGGTATTTGGAAAACCTCTTTAATCCTAATTTCCATTTTTCATCATGATGTTCTCAGGCCTTAAGTGGACTTTCCCTTTTTTGTGTAAATAAAAATACACCACTACGAGTAAACTGCAGGCTCAATCATATCATTGCTTTATGTGTATGAGCCACTTTGCCTGTGTGCAGACTTGCTAGCGTTATTTGTGTGACTACAGTTACTCAGTAAATATTTGCTGCTGTAAACTTTAAAATATCTAAGGGACAATTTTGTATAAAATGGTCTCTGCAGTTTAAGTTTGGTGCCAAATAATAAGATACTTTCCTTGTTTGGTTTTTTTATATCTCTTTGGGGACACAGGGGGGTGCACTTCTCGGAGGCATCAACGCCTTACACACCTCATTTCCAGAAAACCCAATGGGGCAGTACCGGACACAGTGCGAACTCATATTGGAGCGACTGGAGCTGCGAGATCTTCTGCACAAAGAGCTACAAAGACTTGACAGGTTATAGCATGCAGAGTAACAAAATAATTCAGTAGCGAAAAAGAGTTGTTGGACAATAATATCTGGAGAGGGTCTAAAAATAGAATCTGGCATTGAGGAAGGGCTTGTTCTTTAGAGGATGCGGGTAAGCAGGGAAATTGTTTTAAAGTAGCACTCTCAGATCATCACAAGATCATTTCTCCCTCTGGATTATGGAATTTACAAAGAATTTGAGAACATTTTAATCAGTTCCCAACTCATATCTCAATTCTATGCTCAGAATAGAATTTCAGAGGAGCTTCTTAGGGTCAAAATACCAGATTCTGTAGCTGAGCAAATAATTTTATATAGCCTTTTTTTACATGCTTGGTAAAATAGAGCAGATCTGCTTCATACTTGTTAAGCCCTCTTTTGTGTTGGGCTTGTCAGGATCCCTCCCTTTCTGTTAATGGAAAATATAAACCTGAATCAAAGTTCTGTTCTTTAGGGTGATTTTTCTTTTTGCACGCTGGAATTTTCACTGTCCTTTCTCTAGTTTTCAGCTCGCTGCAAAAATCTTTGGGAAGTCTATTTCCTGTTATGAATAGAAAACTTCTAACATACTGGCACTGAGAGGGAAACACTAGGGTTGGAAGGAAATAAAATACAAAAAAATAACATTTGTTTTCTGAAATGAGAGTAGGCTCTAAAGAAACACATACTTTTTTATTGTTAAAGGAAAATAAAAGATTAATGTTATCAAACCTAATGGAATAAGAACAGCTGGGAAAATACACTTTTTCCCTTTATATATTTTTCAGACTTATTTTGTATCTCGTAGTAAGGACATCTTATATAACCACAGAAGCAATAAAAGCATATGAGAGTGGGATATGTCCATCAGACAGGCAAAAGCTAGTTTTGAAACAGAGGTGCTCCTAAGGGATCATAGAAATGTAGGATGGGACAGGAGATCAAATACAAAGACAGCATCAGGTCTGTGTTTGACCTTTCTGACAGAGTCTTGTGTTACCTGCTCCAAAGGCCTTCTAGTGAAGAGGAATTTCCATTGCCATTGGGTAGCCTGTTCCATTATTGCTTCTTCCTAATGCTCATAAAGGTTTTCCCAATATCCCACTGAGTCCTCTATGCTGCAAAATAAGCTTATTTCTTCTTCCCCCTCTTAAGCTGCTTAGAAATTACTAAATGAATGTCCTTTTTAAAACAACCTATGCTGTACTAGACTTGTGCCATGAATTCCTCATAAACTATATTTCAAAAAAATAAGCAGTTATCTTTCAGCCCTTCTTGATGAGTCAGATAATTCCTGCTACTTTACATCAAAATTTTAAGACTAAGTGTATTGTTAAATAATAATAATAATAATGATTCTGAAACATACATGTCAACAGGCCCCTCATCGTCTTTGTGGCCTCCGCTAGACTCTCTCCAGAAGGTCCCTGTCCCTCTTGAACTGAGGAGCCCAGAACTGGACACAGTACTCCAGATGTGGCCTCACCAGGGCAGAGTAGAGGGGGAGGAGAACCTCTCTCGACCTGCTGGCCACACTCTTTTTAATGCACCCCAGGAGACCGTTGGCCTTCCTGGCCACAGGGCACACTGCTGGCTCATGGCCAGCCTGCTGCCCACCAGCACACCCAGGTCCTTTTACTCAGCTCCTCTGCAGCGGGTCAGCCCCCAACCTGCACTGGTGCAGGCGGTTATTCCTCTCCGGGTGAAGGACTCTGCACTTGATCTTGTTGAACCTCCTCAGGTTCCTTTCCGCCCAACTCTCCAGCCTGTCCAGGTCTTGCTGGATGGCAGCACAGCCTTCTGGTGTGTCAGCCACTCCTCCCAGCTTTGTATCATCAGCAAACCTGCTGAGGGCGGATTCTGTCCCTACATCCAGGTCATTGGGTGGAATCTGCCTGCTCTTCACTCATGGTTAGAATCACTGTTTAGCAAAAAGTAGGATGCTTGGAAGTTATATGTTTAGCTAGAATAGACAGAATATCAGCTAAACTGAAATTGGAGGGAACCCTCATTCTACCACCTGTGTTTTTTTGGAGGACCCTAAGAATATTAATAGGCACAGGTAGCAATAATTAAGTTTTACAGGTGATCTGAGATGCTTTCACTCTATCATGTGGAGCTTTTGACATGTTGAGTCCATAGTGATTGTGAGAGAAACCTACCGGCAACCGCTATTCCAAGTGGTACCTGGATTTTCCATTCTGATAACTCATCGGAGGCTTTGCCTTGCTTAAGATAAAATCTAATGAGGTTCCTGTTCTAGAAGATATTCTTGCAGAATATGTAATCCCTGAGGGACTCTAGCAATGTCTGTAAGTAGTGCAAAGGTGTTTGTTTGGGGTTTCCTTTTATGTTTGGTTTCCCAAGGAAGTGAAGTTCAGGTGGTTGCTTTCTCTATCCATCCGTCTTGTATTGGGGACACTAAATTCTGCCACTCACTGTAGAAGATGCTGAAAGATCACAGACTGCAACACAAGCTTCCAGAGCTTTATGTGAAACTTAATAATGCACTTTTGTGACCTACATTATTTGTAGCTTTTCAGCATTCATACATATTAAGCATCAGTAATGCAATAAAGAAAGAAAAAAAAGAAAAATAAATGACTAATTTTTTTTTTTTTAATTCCATAGGTTACAAAAGGAGAATTCATGCCAGCTGCAGCCTGAAGAGACAAGTTCCAGTACTATTACAATATGCTTGAACAAGGATACATTTGGGCACTCAAAGCAAGTATCTCTGTCAGAACCTTCAAACCTACAAGAGAACAGCTCCAGGCCACAGCCTTCCTTGCCTGAAGGCAACTGTGAAGGGGACGTACATCTAGAACCCCTGTGCAACCTGGCACATGGTAATAACAAAACCAAAAACCACTTGATTAAATGTAAGAGAGGTGATGATGGCAGCCTGGCATGGTTTGATAGCCTGGAAGAGAGCAACACTGATGCTGAAGAAACTTTTCAGAAAAAGTCTCCGGTGCCCAAGATATCTCCAAATAACTCGGCTTCACAACCCCTGTCTGAAACATCCTGTTCTGAAGAAAGAAGTGCTTCAATACCAAGGAAGGGAAATGGAATGAGAGGATCACTAGCATCTGTGAATCTACATGCTCCTTTGGAACAGGACAAAGTTTCCAAGATAAACAGGAAAAGGGCTGAAGAACACAACTGTTTTTCTTCAGAAGCAAATATTCAAGGCCCAGCATCACCAAATGCCAGTGTGCAGGATGCAGTTATTACGCAGCGGGTTCCTAAAAGCTGTCGGAGACTGCACACGGAGAAATCACGCGGATTCTTTACAAGTACACAGGACCCCGAGGCAAAGGCCCTTCCTTCAGTGTTACCTGCCTCTGGCCTGCTGGATCTTTCAAGTGAGGCAGATTCTGTGCTAGGGGAGGAAAAAAGCAGCATATCTGTAGCAGCAAAAACCACAGCAATTTCTATAAGAAAACGAAATAAAGGTCAAATAGCGAAGGAAACAAAGGTAGTGAGTTCCCATGAGCCAGAAATCCTTGATGGTGAAAGTCCTCCAGCTGCTAAACTAGCTAAGTTTTCTTTCAGATCAAGGACAAAACTTGATCATTCTTCAGAGAAGAAAAATGAAGAATTTTCTGTTTCTCAGAGTGAAGCTATTTTTAGGCCTGGAGAGCAGGTCCGGGGAGAGCAGCTGTCAGAAGAATGCTGCCCCCCTGAGAAATCCAAGATGACACTGACTAGCTTAGGAAAAAATAGTTTGGAAAAACAATCAATTGATAATAAAGGGAGAGAAGAGCAGCAGAGTCAGGCCTCAGCGAAAGAGATCAGAGGAAGTGCAGCAATGTGCTCTGATGTCATTTTTGCTGACTTGCCATCTGCATCCACTGCAAAGAAAAGGGAGGGAGAGGAGATGCTTGGTGGCCCGAGCACAGGGAAGGTGAGCTCCAGCACATTAGCCAAACTGTCGACATTCTCCTTTGCATCACGTCCTGAGTCAAAATTGGAAACCTCACCTACCGCTAAGGCTGACGCTAACAAGGAGCGCCGTAGCCCGTTGCTGAAGGTACCTGTGAGCAATCCTGGCAGAAGGAAGAGTTTTGCACTGGGAAGTGCCACTAAAGCCAGTGTGGTCACACGGAAACCTCTCTTCTCAATAGCAGAGCTAGATGATGCTACATTAGATTTTGATTGGGATGAAGAGGTTAGGAAAAATCCAATCACATAACATGCACATCCTCCAAATTACTTAACATACAGTTTTCTTAATCTCCATCCTTCCATGAAGTGAATCCATATTTTACAAAGCATTTAAAAATAATCACCCCAGACATACATTCTTTAAGGGCCATATACATCAGCTAAGGACTGCATACACTGCAGACCTGATGTGGCTTTTCGTTTTCTAAGCTCTTCCCAAGACTACTTACTTCAGTTGACTGTTTTGATTGACCTGATGCAACCTGAAGACTTGTGTGGTTATGTTCATATATCCAGATTATAGTGAATCTTGCAGAAGAGCAGGTTGAACTGGCTGTTGTCCTTTATTTCATGTAATGGTTAGAACTATACACAACTCAGATTGTCCTTCCAAATGACTGTGCCACTTCAGAAAAATGATGATGCTAAAGCTCTGTCATTATATTTTGTTCATCTATATGTGCTGTTTGTCTTTGCATAGTTAGCAATATTGTGATTTATCATCATGCTATGGTAAGTATTTCTGTATTATCAGTATCATGACAGTTTTGCTGCATCTCCTTCTTACTGTGCTCCTTGTCACACTGCTGATGTTGAAGACATGGATGGAGAGCTTTTTTTTTTTCTGTTGTTTTATTTTTTTCACTTGCAATTTTAAATACACTGGTTCAGGTATCTGTGTCTGTATTCTGGGTCATTTTATCAAAACACAACTCTCTAATAAACAAAATTCAGGTGATTGAATGGGAGTCCTCAGCAACCAGGGTAACTTTAACACAGGCATTTAGCCCTGGTCTGTAAGGTACACTTCAAACCTAGCAGCCTGGTGAAGAGCTACTCTAGTGTACCTTGGTTCTGACTCAGATAGTGTTTACTTGACTATTTTAATTGTGATTAGAGTTTTACTGCATCTGATATGCAGTTCATCTTCTGTATCATGCTGCATCCTATGTCATTCATTTGTCTAATGGGAAATTAATCTACTAATGCATTACATGTTTACAGAGAAAGGTGAGCCTTAAATTGCTTTCAGTGATTTGCCTGGTGTGTTTCTTCTGTATTTGAATTCTCCACAGAATATTCTTGTTATTACCTGCAAGGTAAACAGAGAATGGAGTGGTTGCTTACAGCACAGTAAATCCTTGGAGAAGCTTGCTAGTACAAAGAAGATCTGATTCTCTCTTGATTTGCTTAAATTTAGAAGTTGCTCCCTTGAAACCAGGTGAGTTAAAATACTGCAAAATTTTAGAGAATGAGGGAGTGTGAGGCCCAGGTACTTCGGTGTGATGCAGTGAAAGCATGAGAACACTAATTACAGGAGTTGGCTTACTGTTAGGAGTGTGGGAAAATGACAGAAACATTATGGTCCAGACTGGTTGTGTGGTAGTTCCTGCACTGGAAAAGTGACATCAGTCACAAGGGGAATTTATCCACCTCCCTCCCAGAGCATAGAGCCACCCCTTCCTGTTCCTTCTCACAAAGACCTACGTCAGGGTGAGGGTGACCTGCACTCATGATCCTATACCCATGAAAATCAGAAGTTTCCTGCAGGATACTGTTTCTACACTGAAACTGGAGAGCGTCAGGAATCCTGGAACTTAACATTTATGATGATCTTCCTGCTAGAATTTTCAGAGGCCAGCTGGAGGCACAGTTTTTCATCACCAGTAGAGCTGCATCAGCCCCGTGCATGGTGGTCTCATTTAGAGTCAGAAATCCTCCTTGCTGGCTGGTTTGATGGATGTTACTAGCTGACCAGTGTAAAGCCAGAACATAGCTACTGGGTCCCCATAGTCAAACATCATGAGGTTTTTTTACCATGCAAAATGATAAAAACTTGAATCAAGAGAAATTTCATCCACTTAGGCTGGAATTACTGTTTTATTCATCGCTTCCCTATAGATCAGTAGCCATGGCCTCATCTAATGCAATTTGCGATGTAAAATTATGTGACGAGTTGCTCCGAAGAACTGCAGGACCTTTTCCTGAATATTTTGTGGGAGGCTGGTTGACTTTCTTTCCTCTGCCCAGTAGAAATTAGAACACTCTTGAAATCAGCAGCACAAAATTGAGGTGAAAGTCAAGCTCGAAATTTCCTTCATATTCCCCATGCTTATGCTGTGTTTGAGAAGGTTCTGGGTTTCATATTCTGCTCACTTCAAAATTTTTGCCCTGTAAGATCTGCCCGAGGGCCAGGGAAGCTGCACGGTGAAGCAGAGCAGCCGTGTTTCAGGAAAGCTGAAACGCCAGGTAGTGCAGACAGTGGTCTTCCTGACTGATGCAGCATGCCAAGTCTCATGGAGCGAGGGAATGCCCCGTTAGCAACAACTGTGAGAGCACTCACACTCTCTTGGTGTCCTCAAACCTGCGCATCGATCATTGCAGCTGAGTAAATGGAAGGTAATCAAACAAGTTTCTTCTCATAGATGAAAAATGTTTCCTCTGATCCAGTAAAACTCAGCGTGGAATACTGAGGTACTAGATGTCCAACAGCTTTTCCAGTCGTACTGTGCTAATCACATTTGTGGTTCAGTTCAGCAGTTTGGCTGATAAAGCTAGATTTTTTTTTTAATTATTATCTTTATTAATCTGTTTTGAAGTGAAATCTACAGTTTAACTGTTCTTTTAAAGCACAGTCAGCAGAGCCATGAACAAGCTGGCAACTTCCTGGAGACTGGATCTCTTAGGGTAGGCTACCTGATGTGCCTAGTGCCTGGTGGACTCAGCCAGTTCAGTATACTGCCAGACCTTGGGGAGACATCCTTCCATTGCCTTAGAGCCATGCAACCAAGCAAGGTATGTGTCTTGAGATATCAGAACTTGGAGGAGACAAAATACATGAGCTTTCCATCAGGCTTGCTGACGTTCCCTGACAGCAAGAGGACAGTTGCAGCAGCTTCCCTGACAGCATGTTTGGAAAGGGTCCCTGATGGTTAGCAGAGAGCAGAACCGGGAAGGATAAAGAAATACCCTGGCATCTGAGCTCCTGCGGAACGTGGACAAATTAGCCCGCTTAAACCAAGGTTTTCACTAGTGCGTGCAAACTCTGTGCATTCATTCTTTAGTGGGCACCATTTGTAAGGCCTGATTTGCAGATGAATACTTAACAACTGAAGCTTAAGTCAATGAGATGTGTAAAGTGCAGTGTCACTGTAATTCTGCTCTTCAGTCTTCACCTCTCACGTGAATCTTGGTTGTGAAATGTCCCTTTCAGGAAGAAATGGTAGTGAGGGGTCTCACTTAAGATACCTTGCATTCTGGGGGTACAGGAAACAGGAAAGATACAGGTTCACTCCCCTTCTTGCTGAGGACATCTGAGAACCTAAGACAGTCCACGTTTTAGCACCTGTCCTTACTAGTTTGCGAGTCAAGCTTATATTCTTCAAAACAATACCTTTGAGCACATCAGGACAAATTTGATAATGCTCAGGAGACTTTTCTAGATCAGTGAAGACATTTTAATTGTCTACAGAGTTGTGCAGCCCTGAAAAGTGCATGGCTGGGTTGTTATCTACCACTCATGTGTTTTAGGTATCTAAATCCAAACACATACTGTAGAATTTAGGCAGAGTGAATTATCTCATTCTATGTAGTGTCTTAATGGTTCATAATTTTGAGGGTGTAATATGCTAGACAGTATATAAATAAAAAGAAGGTTTTCAGGGTCAACGTATTAGAAGTAGTCGGTGTATTACTTTGTAAGTGGAACTGTGCTTTTTTTGAGCAAAGGTTTTTGAGATCTGAGGGATCTGCTTCTCCCTTTTGTATAACATGAGAAATGGAACAAAAGACAAAAGCAATTAAGGAAGGATACCGCAGATTCTGATCACTCTGAGGTCACTCTGCCTGGAAAGCCACTTGAGCAGCTTTGTTTCCCTGTTGGAAGCAAAGAAGAAGAGGCACAGGGACATTCCATTCAGCTTGCAGAAAGGCCCATCTTTTCTATGTTAGCAGAAGAAAAGCACAGTTGTTCTTTCAAACTCCTGTCTGCAAAGAGGTCCTAGTCACCCAAGTGAGTTGGGTAAGTAACCAAATAATAAATTTGGAAGAGCAGCTACTGCTGAGATCTTTCTCTACCAGACCAGTTGAAATACTACTGTTGTGCTATTGCCTCTGATTCATAACACGGATTCAGACCATTCAAGATAAGTGAGAAGCCCACAGTAATAAGAAAATGCTGCCTGTTGCTAATTTACTCTCCCCCACTGTTGCCACTGATGTAGAACCTGTTTATCAGTGCCTTGGCAGGGAACATTGATAACTTCTTTCCCTTCCCTTTTTAAACCAACTTCCCCCACAAACAATCATATGTTTTAATGTTTTTCGAGTGCTACAATAGCCCAGTGATGGGAAGATTTAATCCCTTATGTCAGTGGCAGTCTGCTGGGCTAACCTACAGATGAATTTCCTCTGCAAGGACTTTGTGGAGTCAGTGGGCAGATGAGTCACTTCCTGCCAACCTGCCTTCCTGGCCAGGCACCCAGCCATTACCTCCTTCATGTTTTAACACTTGCTTCTCTGAGTTCACAATCTAAGAATATAAAAACATGTCCAATATGTCTTCTCAGGGTAACTATACACATAGCTCTTGTGCCCCTCTACTCCGCTCTTGTAAGGCCCCACCTGGAATACTGCATCCAGTTCTGGAGCCCCCATCACAAGAGAGACCTGATGCAGCTAGAACGAGTCCAGAGGAGGCCACGAGGATGATCCGAGGGCTGGAGCACCTCTCCTACGAGGACAGGCTGAGAGAGTTGGGGCTGTTCAGTCTGGAAAAGAGAAGGCTCCAGGGAGATCTTTTAGAGGCCTTCCAATACCTGAAGGGGGCCTACAAGAAAGCTGGGGAGGGTCTTTTCATAAGGGCAGTTAATGACAGAACAAGAGGAAATGGCTTTAAGCTGAAAGAGGGGAGGTTTAGATTAGATATTAGGAAGAAGTTTTTCACTGTGAGGGTGGTGAGACACTGGAACAGGTTGCCCAAGGTATTTGTGGATGCCCCCTCCCTGGAAGTGTTCAAGGCCAGGCTGG